GAGAGAGAGACACGGGGAGAGAGAGAGAGAGACACGGGGAGAGAGAGAGAGAGACACGGGGAGAGAGACACGGTGAGAGAGAGAGACACGGGGAGAGAGAGACACGGTGGGAGGGGTGAGACACAGGGAGAGAGACACGGGGAGAGAGAGAGACACGGGGAGAGAGAGAGAGAGACACGGGGAGAGAGAGAGAGAGAGAGACACGGGGAGAGAGACACGGGGAGAGAGAGAGAGACACGGGGAGAGAGAGAGAGACACGGGGAGAGAGAGAGACACGGTGAGAGAGACACGGGGGGAGAGACACGGGGGGAGAGACACGGGGAGAGAGACACGGGGGGAGAGAGACACGGGGGGAGAGACACGGGGAGAGACACGGGGAGAGAGAGAGACACGGAGAGACACGGGGAGAGAGACACGAGGAGACACGGGGAGAGAGACACGGGGGGAGAGAGAGACACAGAGAAACACGATGAGAGAGAGAGACACGGGGAGAGAGACACGGGGGGAGAGACACGAGGAGACACGGGGAGAGAGAGACACGGGGGGAGAGAGAGACACACAGGGAGACACGGGGAGAGAGAGAGAGACACGGGGGGAGAGAGAGACAAGGGGGGAGAGACACGAGGAGACATGGGGAGAGAGAGACACGGTGAGAGAGACACGGTGAGAGAGAGACACGGGGAGAGACACGATGAGAGAGAGACACGGGGAGAGAGACAAGGGGAGAGAGAGAGACACGGAGAGACACGGGGAGAGAGAGACAAGGGGGGAGAGACACGAGGAGACACGGGGAGAGAGAGACACGGGGGGAGAGAGAGACACAGGGAGACACGGGGAGAGAGAGAGAGAGACACGGGGGGAGAGAGAGACACGGGGAGAGAGAGAGACACGGGGGGTGAGACAAGGGGAGAGACACGGAGAGAGAGAGAGACACGGGGAGAGAGAGACACGGGGAGAGACACGGGGGGAGAGACACGGGGAGAGAGACACGGGGAGAGAGACACGGGGAGAGAGACACGGGGAGAGACACGGGGAGAGAGAGACACGGGGAGAGAGAGATATGGAGAGAGAGACACGGGGAGAGAGAGAGACACGGGGAGAGAGAGAGACACCGGGAGACACGGGGAGAGAGAGACACGGGGAGAGAGACACGGTGAGAGAGACACAGGGAGAGAGACACGGGGAGAGAGAGAGACACGGGTAGAGAGACACAGGGAGAGAGACACGGGGAGAGAGACACGGGGAGAGACACGGGGAGAGACACGGGGAAAGAGGGACACTGGGAGAGACACGGGGAGAGAGACACGGGTAGAGAGACACGGGGAGAGAGACACGGGGAGAGAGACAAGGGGAGAGAGAGAGACACGGGTAGAGAGACACGGGGAGAGAGACACGGGGAGAGAAAGAGAGACACGGGGAGAGAGACACACGGGGAGAGAGACACACGGGGAGAGAGACACACGGGGAGAGAGACACGGGGAGAGAGACACGGGGAGAGAGAGAGACACGGGGAGAGAGAGAGACACGGGGAGACACGGGGAGAGAGGGAGACACGGGGAGAGAAAGACACGGGGAGAGAGACACGGTGAGAGAGACACGGGGAGAGAGACACGGGGAGAGAGAGAGACACGGGTAGAGAGACACGGGGAGAGAGACACGGGGGGAGAGACACGGGGAGAGAGACACGGGGAGAGAGAGACACGGGGAGAGAGACACGGGGAGAGAGAGACACGGGGAGAGAGACACGGGTAGAGAGACACGGGGAGAGAGACATGGGGAGAGAGAGAGACACGGGGAGAGAGACACGGGGAGAGAGAGAGACACGGGGAGAGAGAGAGACACGGGGAGAGAGACACAGTGAGAGAGACACGGGGGGAGAGAGACACGGGGAGAGAGAGAGACACGGGGAGAGAGACACGGGGAGAGAGAGACACGGGGAGAGACACGGGGAGAGACACGGGGAGAGAGACACGGGTAGAGAGACACGGGGAGAGAGACACGGGGAGAGAGAGAGACACGGGGAGAGAGAGACACGGGGAGAGAGACACGGGGAGAGAGAGAGACACGGGGAGAGAGAGAGACACGGGGGGAGACACGGGGAGAGAGACACGGGGAGAGAGACACGGGGAGAGAGAAACGGGGAGAGAGACACGGGGAGAGAGAGAGACACGGGTAGAGAGACACGGGGAGAGAGACACGGGGGAAGAGACACGGGGAGAGAGAGACACGGGGAGAGACACGGGGAGAGAGACACGGGTAGAGAGACACGGGGAGAGAGACACGGGGAGAGAGAGAGACACGGGTAGAGAGACACGGGGAGAGAGAGAGAGACACGGTGAGAGAGACACGGGGGGAGACACGGGGAGAGAGACACGGGGAGAGAGACACGGGTAGAGAGACACGGGGAGAGAGACACGTGGAGAGAGAGAGACACGGGGAGAGAGACACAGTGAGAGAGACACGGGGGGAGAGAGACACGGGGAGAGAGAGAGACACGGGG